CTGTAGCCCCAACAACGAATTTCTTATTGTTTACATTTTATGAACTTTTTCCTGCATCTTTCCCAACTGCATGCCAAACAACTAAATATTCTCTTTTACATTATGACCAGTGGTGAGAGTATGGAGAATGCTTTACGAGCATGTTGTAAAGGCATCAAGATTGGGAAGATTCTTATTCAGAGGGAAGGTGACAATGGTCAGCAGGTTTGTAAAGGCTTCTCTCTTTGTTTTCAAGCATGCATCTGACTTCATATCTGTATGTGTCATACAATCACTGAGTTCTGGTTATTCTCTCAACGCTTCAACGCTTTGGCAGCTAATCTATGAAAAGTTACCACAAGACATCTCAGATAGACACGTGTTGCTATTGGATCCAATTCTAGGGACAGGTTTGTGTTTTTCACTATAGATTTTTGTTTTGGAATGAGTTGGTGATGATAGAAGTTTTACTACCTTCAAGGACTCATAAAAAATCTTTTTGTTTCTCTGTAACTTGACGGAAAAGACCGTTCCTCATGTCTTAAAATGCTACTGGCACTTCTAGACTCAATTGAAAGTTTGAATTTGAACATGAAAATTACTCGACTGGGTATATCTCTCGCTCCACTAATTGGTATTAATGACTCTCTACCTTTTGTTCAGGCAATTCAGCTGTTCAGGCTATTTCTTTACTCATTAGCAAGGGTGTGCCGGAATCCCAGATCATATTTCTTAATCTCATATCTGTAAGCGAGTTCTGCCTACTCCATTTTTTGGTTTAATTTTTACCCTACTCGTTATGAGACATTAATTTTGGACATTCCTGTTTACAAATATACTATTTATGTCCACCAGGCACCTCAGGGAGTGCATGTGGTTTGCAAAAAATTCCCAAGAATAAAGATTGTAACATCTGAGATTGAAATTGGTTTGAATGAAGATTTCCGTGTTATACCTGGTATGGGTGAGTTTGGAGATAGGTATTTCGGTACAGATGACGAGTACCAACCAGTGGTGGACCCTACACAATAGAGATATTAAAAGCTGTGCTGATTAATCTGCAAGGAGTTGGAGGCGAGCAGCCGAACCTGCCGGACTCTTTTATCTGCTGAGTTGTGCTATTTCAGTTTTCAACAAATTTTGACTCAAATTAAACCTATAGTTTCTTCCTTTCATTTTTATTTTCTTGAAACTTTGAGTCACACAGGGAGGTGTTTGATTCTGTCACCTAGTTCTGTGCAGACGGGTTTCATAGGAAAAAATAAAGAGAGCAAACAATCCATTATCAAAAAGTTACTCAGTCATTGCATGGCTTAGAGGAGAGTGATTACAGGCACCTACTTGGAACGTGATGGTGACAGCCTCCCCATGATATATGTATCTGTGAACCCAGATATTTGGTCTCATATATGGTGATACACTTTTATGGTGAACCATTATTTTGGTTCTACTAGAGGTTGAATATCCTTGTTCGATTCTTTGCTATTATTGTGGTGTATGCAAATTTTCTCATCCTAGCTACATGTTCCCTTTTGTTTTCTTCTACTCTACTATAGTAGTAGGGCATTAATTTATCAAAAAAATGAAGCTGAAATGAATTAGAAGGGACATTGACATTAATGGTTAGAAATTAGTGGCTGAGACAGATATAGATGATTGCATCAATATCTTCAAATTTTGGAGGGAGCAACGCTGCAGATGAGGCAAGAGCTTTTCCTTTTCCACACAATGCTTTTAGGGTTCTCGAGCTGAGATATAATAAAAAGATTTGCCACTTGGCAAAGAGAGTGATCACTCATTGCTTTATCCAAGGATGATAATCTGTGTTGGGCTAATCTCTTGACACGTGTTGACATTTGTAGGGCGAATTTCTTTTGGTATATTCTATCGAAGATGATCTATATAGAGTGGTGCTTGTGAAAGTTTGTTTTTGCATTTTCGTCTTGTATCTATTTATCTTTCTTTATCCAATATCCATTCTAGAAAAAGCTTTAGCCATGTCGGCCTTTGTTGGAAAGTATGCAGGTATTACTCCTCTCTCTCACACACTTGTCCATGTCCAACCTTTCGAACTCCATGAAGCTTAAGTTGAGCACTCAAGTTCACTTTAAAGCTCTATTTTGACTATGAATTCATGAGTACTGAAAACTAGATTGCACCAGTTTCTTTCTCCTTTGCATGTCCATCTTTTTTTGCTGGTTACAAAGGAGAGGCTCAAATGTGAGACCTCTTTGGAGATGGGCATATGATTGCAGTTGAACTTCAAGTTCATTGGCATTGGTAGACTTTCATATATAAATGATAGGAGTTTCACCTCATGCATGCACATGGATTGAAGCTTCAAATAATAATGGATAGCTTATCAAATCAAGCCTATATATATATATATATAGCTTCTAAGGTTGTTGGTTCTACCATTGTTGACTCCAGATGAGTTGATCAAGACTGCCAAGTACATTGCCACACCAGGGAAGGGCATTTTGGCTGCGGATGAGAGCACAGGCACCATTGGTAAGCGTTTATCGAGCATAAATGTTGAGAATATTGAGTCCAACCGCCAAGCCCTGCGCGAGCTCCTTTTCACATCCAGAAAAGCCCTACCTTACCTCTCTGGTGTCATCCTCTTCGAAGAAACCCTCTACCAGAAAGCCTCTGATGGGAAACCATTTGTTGAAGTCCTCCAAGAAAACAACATTATTCCCGGAATCAAAGTTGACAAAGGTGTAGTTGACTTAGCTGGGACTAATGGTGAAACTACAACCCAAGGCTTTGATTCACTCGGAGCACGTTGCCAGCAATACTACAAGGCTGGTGCACGATTCGCAAAGTGGCGTGCTGTCCTCAAGATTGGCCCAACAGAGCCATCTGAATTGTCAATCCAGCAGAATGCACAAGGGTTGGCTCGTTACGCTATTATTTGTCAGGAGAATGGTCTGGTGCCTATTGTGGAGCCTGAGATTTTGACTGATGGATCTCATGACATTAAGAAATGTGCTGCTGTAACTGAGACTGTGCTTGCAGCTGTTTACAAGGCATTGAATGACCAGCATGTTCTTCTTGAAGGCACCCTCCTCAAGCCTAACATGGTCACTCCAGGTTCTGATAGCCCAAAGGTATCAAAATATCAACATCAACCCTTGATCTAATTAATTGAATTATCTGATACTTGTCTTTATAATTAATTAATCTCAAAAGGGCTAACTTGATTCTATACAGGTAACACCTGAGGTGATTGCTGAGTACACAGTGACCGCACTACGCAGAACTGTTCCACCAGCTGTACCAGGCATCGTGTTCTTGTCTGGTGGGCAAAGTGAGGAGGAAGCAACACTGAACCTTAATGCAATGAATAAGCTTGAGGTGTTGAAACCATGGACTTTATCATTCTCTTTCGGCCGAGCATTGCAAAAAAGCACGCTCAAAACATGGGCTGGAAAGAAGGAGAATGTTGAGAAAGCTCAAGAGGTGTTCTTGGTTAGGTGCAAGGGAAATTCAGAGGCAACTCTTGGCAAGTATACTGGAGGAGGTGCTGGTGGGTTGGCTTCAGAGAGCTTGTTTGAGAAGGGGTACAAGTACTAGGCCTCTCTCTGAGTCTATGTTTATGACTTTATGAGGCTGGTGATTTTATGTATGCAATTACAACTTGTATTTTCCTTCCTTGGAATGCCAATTAATTAATTTCTTTTGCCTTTTGGTGTGTGTGTGTATAAATATATTCAAATTTGAGTTTGAGTAAGCTCAGTATATAAAGGAATATTGATATTTTTCTTAACTAAAAAAATTGAATTGATCTTGACTGAATTATAAGTTATCTCGTTACTTTAAACCGGGTCAACTAGGTTTATGTTTTTTGAAAATCCATCCAAGCCAAAATTCAAGTCAGCCAGGTTTTAAATTCACCTATCAGATTAGACTGGGATTGAGTGGAGTTGTTAATTTTCACTTCAGTCCAATTCCCTGTTGGAAGCATGAACGCGTAAACTGTCAAAAACAACAGTTCAAGGTGAATTTTAGATGCTCTATCTACATTCTACTTTCTTCTAAAATTTTGTGTTCAACTTACAAAGAAAAAAAGGGTGGTCAATCAGTCGATTTGGAAAGTTTATTGAGATACAACTTGATAAGCATGGGAAGATCTCTGGTGCTGCTGCAGTTCGTACTCACCTTCCTGAAAGATCAAGCGTTTGCCAAGTCTCTGACCCGGAGAGAAACTACCATTGTTTTTACATGCTCTGCGCAGCACCACCAGAGGTGATTTCCTGACAACCATGCAAGCATTGTGGACCTCGCCCTTCAGAAAAAATGCTATCTGACTGATGTTCCCTTTCAGGATGTCAAGAGTTACAGGTTAGGGCACCCAAGAGCTTTCCACTATTTGCACCAGAAAAAAAAGCTAAAGCATTGTGTTGCTTTAGCTTTGGTGTCAACTGCCACATTAGCTTAATCTTGTATCCCTTTTATCTGCATTGAGTTGGAAATGGTTTTTCCTCAATGAGTCCTTTCTGCAGTGTCCAGATTACTACGTTGCGGGTTACGAATGGACTTTGCTGAACTATACAGGAATTTGCCTTATGTGGGTGTTCTAATAACAGATACAGAAAGAAAAAATATAAAATGAATATAAACATATTTGATTAGAAAAATGAAGATAGAAATATAAAATAAATATATTTTAAGAACAATTTTAAAATAAATTTTTATACTTCAAAACAACAGGTATGAAAAACATGTCTTTTTTTCTTTTTATCTTTACAGTCACCATTATTTCTGGGTCGAGACAAAATGCCAATGCTTGCAGATACTATAAATCCTTGAAAGAGGTAAAGTTGGAATAATCATGCATATTTTTTGTGTATAGGAATAGGAAAGATATCAAGACAGTAAAAATTCTCCAACTTCCTTTTTGAGAAATAGGCAAATTTTTAACCTGCCCCCAAAATTTCGTCATTGCCCACCAAAACAAGCGTTTACAGAGGAGCTCGATCTCTCTCTATATATAGCATACAGCGACACATATTTGGTGTATCCTAGCTAGTGAAGGGGCGTGTCAATGGATGCCACCACTGTTGCTCTCTGGGTTGAAAGATTTGCTTTCTGTCTCTTACTGTGCAGTGCTAACATTGGAAGCTGTGGTCTTGTTATCTTGGTACTATCTAATTTCTTGTGCTATAACCGTGCCATGATTGAAAAAGCTGACACTGTAAGGTTGAAGCCCCACAGAAGCCTCAAAAATTCTGATTCAAGGGTTAGTTCTCTTTCCATGGAAACATGATTGCCTAATATTTCTCCCTTATATGTATGTATGTATGTATCCCTTTACTTACAATTTACTTTCACTAGAACATTGTAGAGCAATTTGATGGAAAGAATGCACTTGATCAGGATGAAGGAGAGGATTCAACCATGAAATCTGCACTTCTTGAAATATTGGGGAAGGCTACAAGTGAAGAAAACATTCCATATTGGGATGGAATATTGGTGAACAAATTGGAAGATAAGTTCAAGAAATACCGAGCACTTTGTGAAGAAGAGCTGAGAAAAGCAAAAGAAATATGTGAAGACGAATTCAGGGACAAGCTGAAAATCATGGAGGAAAGATTGGAGGCCAAGTATGATGACGATAGACGCAAGTGGGAGAAAGAGAGGAGGTTTCTGAAGGAAGAATATGAGATGATGCGATGGACATAGGCAGGACATTACAGGAATTTCTTGCCTAAGTTTACACAATATTTTCTTCTCGCTCCAGCAAAAAAGCTGCATGGTGGCAGACTGAATATTTTCGCTAGACATAAATATTAATTGAAGCATTAATTCCATATGCAAGCAAAGTTATTGTTGTTCTGTAGAACTCAAATCGGAGTTCACTGCTCAAATTTTCACGAGGCAAAACATAGATTTGCTGTCATGACTAGCTAGTTTCTTTTTGGTAGATAAAGGGGCAGAAAGTTGCATGCAACATTGTGAGAAACAACCAAAAAAAATAATAGATATCAAACTCGGTTTACGGTTTAGTCGGGTTAACTTGCGGGTTAACTTGCAGGTTAGTGAGTTAAACTCCGATAGCATGGGAGTCATGAAGCACTGGTTACCTTTCATAATCAAATGCTTGATGCAAACTTCTACTCGAGAGCTAGCTGCCTTATCTCTCTAAACAAAGGGCACTAGTCACAAAGACATGCTCTCCCTTATTGTCATTTGCCAAGCCATACTTAAGCCAAGACTATATTCTATATCTTGATAATTTTTTTTTTTATCTTTTAATATTCTGATTTTGAAAAATTGTTTAGATTCAAGCATGTATCACGTGCCAATCAAATTTTTTTTTCCTGATAAATCACAATATATCTAGATTCTTTTTATTATCATTAAAAAAAGAATAATCTTAAAACCCAAGGAGATTGTTTGATTGTTATCATAAAAAAAATAAAGAAAGAAATTAAGATGGTTAAAAAAATAAGTTAATTTATGATCCCTTTGATTAAAATATGATCCGATAAATAATCTATTTATATATATATATTTTTAATTTATATGTCAAAACATCAATGTTTTATTTTTTATTTTTAAAAAACTCGTTGGATTTAATAACCATGTTGTGACCTATAAGCACATTATTTTACTTAATTATTTGAGACAAGACTGTCAAATTATAGTGATAAGTAAAAAAATAAAATAAAATATATTCTCAAAGAAGAAGATAAGAAACCGAAAACGTTGCGTTTAGTTCACTCTCACAATCCATTTATACTCTTTCCTCGTTAGAAACTTCTGCATAAGTTCTGTGTTCTTCAACGATGTCTTCCACTTCAATCTCCACTTCTCTTCGCGTGTTGACCACAAAATTCCCAAAATCTCTTCACTCAACAAAAACCTTAATTTTCTCCTCAGAACCCACAAATCTTTCCTTCTTTATTTTCTCAAAACCTATTTCTTTCCAAAAAATCCCAACAAAGACTCAACCTTTACTTGCATCACCATCAAGCTCTATGTCTTTGCAACCAATTGAAGAATTCCCTCCAAAGCTTCAAGAGATCATCAAGCTTTTTCAATCGGTTAAAGAACCCAAAGCTAAGTATGAGCAGTTACTTTTTTATGGAAAGAATTTGAAACCACTTGACAGTGAGTTTAAAACTAGGGAGAATAAAGTTGAAGGTTGTGTTTCTCAAGTTTGGGTTAGGGCTTATTTGGATTTTGAGAAGAATGTTGTCTTTGAAGCTGATTCTGATTCTGTTTTAACTAAGGGTCTTGCTGCTTTGCTTGTTCAAGGGCTTTCGGGCCGGCCGGTTGAGGAGATTTTACGGGTTTCTCCCAATTTTGTTGTGTCTCTTGGGTTGCAGCAGAGCTTGACACCTTCTAGGAATAATGGGTTTTTGAATATGTTGAAGTTGATGCAAAAGAAAACACTTGAATTGTATATGGAAGCTGAAAAGGGAAGTGGGGCTGTTGAAAGTTCGAAGCTTCGTGATGGTAGTGGTGAGAATGAGGGAAAAATTGAAAATTTGGGCTCAAATGGTGATGTTGGTGTTGAAAGATCTGGTGACAATTCGGTCAAAGGCTTGAGTTTTGATGCGAAAATTGATGGTGTTGAGGGTTTGGGACCGGTGGGGAGTGAAAAGGGATCGAATTCAAAGGCTTTAGGGAGTAGGGGAATAAGGGTTAGGGAGAAATTGGAGAGGGAGCTAAGTCCTCTTGAATTGGAAGTAGAGGATATTTCATATCAGCATGCTGGGCATGCTGGTGTGAGAGGGAGTAATGGGGAGACACATTTCAATGCGAAAGTTGTTCTAAGGAGTTTGAAGGGAAGAGCTTAGTGAAGAGGCATAGGCTGATTTATAATTTGTTGCAAGACGAGTTGCAGAGTGAATTACATACGTTGTCTATTGTAGCGAAGACGCTGGATTAAGTTGATGGAAGCTGAAGAGGAGATGAAAATAGAGGTTAATTTTTCTTCTTTCATTTGATTGTATAGCTGAGTTCTAAATATTGCTTCTAGCTTTAAGTTGTTAAAGACAATGTGTTTAGTCAGAAAGTAAAGTACTAATAATGATCTTGGAGATGTTTATATCAGTTGCATATTTTTTAAATCTTGAATGAATTTTGTTTAAATGAGTTAATTTTGTAATCCTTTCACCACTGCTGCTGCTAATTCCATTGAATGTGAGTTTCAATTGTTCATACTTGCTTTTAGATATTGTTAATTTACAACTGGGAGATCAGCGTAGGAAGGTCTTGAGGTCCTTCTATGATAAGCGCTGTCAATAAATTTGTGTGAAATGCTTTGAATTCACTGAAGTTATCTGAATTCCTACACTCAAGGTGCCGAGAAACTTCAAATTAGATAATAAACTACTTTAGTTTAGCTGATTAAAGGTGGTTCTAGCACATTTGTTTAATCGAAGCATGTGTCTGAATATCAAAATTCTCAATTTTATCCACACTTTGTGCTTTATCCTTTCCTCTTACTTAATTTAAGGTATTAATTTGACTGGACATTATTTATGCTAGTTCACTTCATAATCATATGTTAGCTCATTGAAAACCTAGGTGGCGGAAGTACCAAAATGAAATATTGTCTATTTTTACTGAGCTTAAGGTTTCAAAATAACATATTTATGGCCTCAGACAATTACAACCTCGAAGAATTCTGTTCGATCCATAGCACAAAACTTATCAGACCATGTCTTATTATATATAAAAAAATCTATTTAGACATCAATCTGAACAAACCAGGAAAAGAAAAGTTAAAAGTCTCTTCTTCATCTCTTTGTTTTGCAACTTCGGTAAACGATAACACCAGTGGGTGGGCCAGTCATCTCTATCTCACACCTTCCATGTAACCAGTATGAATAATGGAGCAGACCCAGGTTAGATCTCACTTTAAAAGTTACTCTCATGTTGTAGTGGACCTTGTTACTCTGCACCTGCTTTTGAAGTTCAAAAGCAAGATTCTGGGGCAAATAGACCAAGCTTGATATGATTTGAACTGATTCCAATCTTGTTTCCCGACTTCTTTGTGTGAAAGGCTGAAGAACTTGAGTTCCTATAAGTCTATCCGAAAAGTAGAGCTCTATATCCACATACTCGAATCTCACATCAATTTTCTGATTTGGGTTGGAGGATTCTGCGGGGAAGGTAAGATCCCCATTGAAATACTCTGGTGAATCGAAGTATATGCTGCTTAGATTTGCGTTTGGAATGTCAAACACTGGATTTCTTGGTTTAATGACAAGGTAGATAATCAAGGTTGCTATTCCAAAGAAGATGAGAACAAGGCTGAATATGAGGCAGAGGATTGCACCACACCATATAACTGGGTTGGTACGGCGAGGTCGAGGATGTTTGAATATTGGCGGCCTGCTTAATTTCTTGCCGTCAGAATTTGATGTCTCTGCCGAAGAACTTTGTTGATTTCTGGCTTGCTTTGATATGACTATCTGATTGAGAGAGACTGGAAAGCCTTGCTTTCCTGGTTGTGGAGATGGTTTTGCGGGCAGCGGGGAGGGTGGTGGAGGAGGGAGTGGAAGCATCTCTGAGTTTGTAAGGATAAAAAACCTCTAAAACAAGTTTTGTTGGAGATTAAAATTGTTGTTTCTTTAAATATAACGGGGTGTGGAATAATTAAAGTAGAAAAAAGGAGGTTTGATTCAGGGTAGCGGCCCTACATGTTGTTTTTAATAAGGGCAAAAGGATGTGCATATGGATTTAAAGTTGGAAATCACAGATTTTTTGTTTGAATATGCACACTGCTGTATAATAAATTGCTAAAGAAATGGTCCTGCGGCTTATGTTTGTTAACTCTCTTCCAGTACTTTAGTGTTTTGGACCTTTAAGTTACAAATCCAATGGCTATGATTTGGTTATATACAATTTAAGATGGTAATGGAATATGATATCAGCCCTGGACAAGTAAGTTCAACTGCGTTAAGAAAACATTGAGTGGAAAGTTAAAGGTTTCATGCTGTATGAAGAAAACTTAGCATCGTCAAAGGTGGACCTGCAGCGGTAACTGGTATCTTGATAGTGCTGATTGCCATAGTTATTTGCATGTGATGATTACTTTGGGGAAGATTTGAAAACTTATTGCATTCCAGGATTTGCTTCCAAAAGTGGATTTTGCTCATCTGCCCTTTCATTAGTGTCGGCCATAAGCCCATGGCCAATGGGCTGTTTTCTGATGCATTAGCCATGGCCTAAGTAACAAAGTGGACTTGTAACAGGGAAGCCGCTTGCGGTGCTCCACCTATAGAAATTTTGAGTCATATCAGCGATCATTGATTCATGTCTCTGTAGCAGAAGCAAGTCTACTTATAATTATATATATAAAAAATAAATGACAGGGGAAAAGCATTTTAGCTTTTCTTGTAAAAAACCTATGAATTACTATGGTATTTGTTTATATTAATTGTTTTTTTTGTTATAATTTTTTTAAAATTATTTTTATTGATTTTATTTTTTAATATTAAGATGAATGATAATTTAGTTTTATAATTTTTTTCTTTTTCTTTTATCTTTTTACAAGGTTAGCATGGTTTACAAGTTTATTAAGGTAATCCAAATTATTCCAGTTTATAGATTTGGTGGATTTTTTTAATTAAATTTAATTTTTTTATAACCTATTTTTTTCTCTTACTGTTAAAAAAATAGTTTTAGAGAAAAACTATATCATTAAACTTTATGAAATAAAAAAATTTAAAGAATATAAGGAAATCATTGTTCACATAACACCTATTGAACTGTGAATTACAATAGCAATTTATAGTGTTTTGCTATCTTTTTTTTATATATATTTTTTAAATTTATTTTTGTTGATTTTATCTTTTAAAATTGAGATTGTTAAGAATTTAGTTTTGTAATATGTTTCTTTTTATTTTTCCTTTATATAAAGGTTAGTGTGGTTTACAAATTTACCAAGGTAACTTAGATTGTCTCCATTTACAAGTTTAGTTGATTTTTTTTTAATTGAACTTATTTTTTTTTTATAGTTTATTTTTTCTCATATAGTTAAAAAAATAGTTTTAGAAAAAAATCATATTATTAAGTTTTATAAAATAATAAAAATTAAAGAGCATGAGAAAATAATTGTTCATCCATACACATTTCACTGCCAATAACAATAACAATAGTAATTCA